GGGAAAGGAGTGACGAGAGCAAGTGCGTCATTATATGCTCTCGATCTTCGGTACTCAATTATGTAAGCACTTTGATATACAGTTTAAAAGTAAAACTAAATTATATTATAAGTCTAACAGGGTGATTGTTAACAATATTAATATATATAATTGCATATTATCTTACTAAAAGTATTATAATCAACTTACAAGCACAATACAATATTTTTATAACTATTATAATCTATCAACTATTATTGTAGATATCTTATAATATAATTTTAACAGATTATAATAAGAGTTGAGTACTTGTACCTCACATGTAATGTTGTAATAATACTATTAGTAAGCTTACTTGCTCTAAAACATGTTTGTAGTTTAATAGAAACTTTGTATATTTCTTACATTTATATACAAGCATTATAATTACATTACAAGTAAAATATAAGTATTATTTTAGAATGTAATGGTTATGAAATAATTTTATTAGTTTACTTTTGCTATTATTAAATACATTTGTTGCGACTTTTTCGTGATGCAAGAATGCATAGAATAGATAGGGAACCAAGTGTGTCAAAGAATGCATGCAGGATGGAATTTGTGATGGTCACAAAGTTTTGAAGCATGTTTAATATGTACACAAAAATAACACTGTTGAAATCACTGAGCAGACTTGAGTAATGAATATTAGACACAGAACTTACAGGTAAAACTTATAGGAGGAAGTAGACAATTTGATTGTACACAAGAACTCTAAGGACAACAGAGCCTTGAAGTTCACTTTGCACAGTACAGACTGTCAGAATAACCTTATATATTAGAGGAATACACTTAGAGCAGCTAATACATAAGTGTATTCTCAACCTTGTGTGTATATATGTTACTAACCAGGCTACAATTTCCCACATTTGGAAAAAGTCTAAATTCTTGTACTACCTTATAATGGTATAAAATAAGTGAAAAAAGTAAAAAAAAAGTAAAAACACTTAGAACGGATCTTGGTTTCTGAGAAAGTACTACAATTCATTATAAAGTCTGAAAGGTTTGTCCATTTTATAAATGTAAATAAGGACTTTTCTCCTTGGCAACATATAAAATACATTACAATGGATCTCTAAAATTACAAGGTTAAATCACCCTTGTTAATTATGGCAAATATTATAATTGTTTATAAAGCTCTTAAATTGTTTTAATATTGTTCTAATAGTTATTTTTCCTTATATCTGTTTGTTGTTGAAATAACAGTTTATAATTATATTGAAACATTATATAAATACATTATAATCTACAACAATTAGGGGTGAGACAGGTTGTGAGATTGATTGGCTAAAGTGTAAGTGTGAGCATTGTCAGCATAAGTAGGTAACTGGATTGAGGAGATGGATGCACTGTAATGGTGTGTAGCAAGTGTGAGTAGTACACTAGGGTTAAGATCCAGAGTGTTGAACAAGCTGATTCAGACTGTAGACAAAATCATGTCTGTGTGTGTGTGCTCTATTGTTTATAAACAGTGTCTAATAGGAGGTACTGTGAACTGAGTCATAGATTGTAAGAGTGTATCTCTGGGACATTCTAGAACAAAGGGAGATAGTAAAGTGGAAGGTGTTGACAGACTTAACTTGGACAGGTGTGAGTAGTAACTACTGCTTCTGTTATTTAAAATAGTGTTATGGACAGTACTAGGGATTGTAAATATATACAGTGTGAGTCTATCAAGAGTGTTGTCAAGCATAGAATGGTGGGTGAGGAAGGAGAGTGTATGCAGGGGTCAGAGAGAGGATTGTCCCTTAGGAGTGGTTGTACATAGACATTATTACAAGTATGTGCTTGTAAATTGCTACTTGTACTACAGAGTAGGAAGAATGTATAGAATTATTAAAGAAGTCATTCAGTATTGGTCAACAATGTGGATGTGTGAATGTGAATGCAAAAAGGAAGATGAGTGTAAAACAAGAAGGACAACAGAGGAGAGGCAACACAAACAGTAGAGTAAGGAGTAGGAGGGATGGAAGGGATGAAAGACAAAAAGTTGGGAGGAGATGGATGAGCAACTATTGTGCAGGTTATTATGAAGTGGACTGGCTACTTATACTTTATGTTGAAGGACAGTATAGTCAGCTCAGTAGTATTATTGTATAATCTAAGGCTCAGTACAGGCATTACAACAGTAGATTAGAGAGACAAGTGTAGTAATGTTTATTACCTATATTGTAGCAAGTACAGAGTGCCTGCTGGTAGGACACTTGCAAGCAGAGGACTTGATTATAGAGAACAGAAGCAACAACATAGTATTGGGGGCAGAGAGTTAGGGAGATGGTGAAGGTAGGAGGTAAAGGAGTGATAAAGAGAAATGCATCATTATATGCTCTTGATCTTCAGCAGTTGATTACATAAGCAACTATATATGAGTTGTCAACTGATAGAACATTTCAATTATTGTATTTAGGTATAAAATAAAATAATTAATCTACTTTGTAATATAGTAAAAAGTAATATAACATGTATATAGCTTTCTAAACACACTAATGTAATTATTACAAGTTGATGAAATAACTTTTACAAATATTGTAAGCTATTTGTATAGATAGTCTAAGTATAACACACATATTATAAATATTGTAAGCTATTTGTATAGATAGTCTAAGTATAACACACATATTATATACTTATAGTATACTTTTATTAAGATAATAATGATACAACAAGTGCTCTTACACTATTATATACATTAATATACCTTTTACATAAATTATAAGGCAACAATTATTATTCTTATATTATTATATTGTAAATATTACCCTTTCTTTGAAATTATAATAAAAATGTAATGTAAGCATAATACTTTAGGCTATTATACAAAGTTAGTATAATACTTTTAATAGATTGTATTCATCCATAACACTTACTTAGCCTTTATATACATTAACATGTCTTATACAAACTTTACAATTGATTTGCAAGTCTTGTAATTACTTTATATATACATACATACTTATGTTACTTTACAAAGTCTACAATATTATTATAAGAAATGGTGGACTTTTT